AATTATAACATTCGAAAATATATAATAAATATACAAAGTCATTTAATTTTAGTGCATTTATTTAATTTTTTTTTATTTTTTACAAGTATCATAGGTATGTCGGTTTTAAGGCTTAACTTTCAGATGCGTTAATCCTCGAATATCTTAAAAAGATTTATATTGCTAAGAAATATGTGAATATGAATAATTTTCATGTACGAATATATTTCAACATATGAATAATTTTCATAAGACTATCATATATTTTTTGGCAGAGAAGTGTTGCTGGTTTACATCGATATGTGTAAATTTAAATTTTACACTTTCAGAGAATATAGTTCGAATCTACAATATCTGTAGTAAGTCTTTGATCTTTTGCTTTAAATAACAAAATATAACGTAACTCATGATAAAAAGAGTTTCTCGCGCTGCCGGAAGTTGTAATAATACTTAAATTTTAGAAATTGCGACGCTTGACAGCACTAAAGAAATGCTTTTTACTAGAAAATACGTTACAAAAGGTTAAAAGCTTATTATTTTAGATTCAGATTGAAACCGATATTCATGGTCAAATTTTATATTTAAAATCGTCTTAAGCTCATCTTCAAATATTCCCTTCATTAGTTACAAAAGATCCGAGGACGAACTTAAGACGATCTTAAATGGAAAATTTAACAAGGGCTGCGTTTCAATATTCACTGTCAATACTGAAAATCTAGTACACGTAATATAAACAATAGATTTTCAATATTGGAAATAGATATCGGGACGCAGCCTATAAGTATTGGCCTTACAGTCCGAAAACAAAATGGTATGTCGATTTTGATGCTCTTCTTCTACTTCGAACGGCGATTTCTCTCTCGCTCCGGGCGGGGGGCGCCGACCGTTTCAGTGAATCTGCGCGACGTCTCGTTTTGTAACTGTCGGCGGGCCTTTCACCACCTTTCGACAGGGATGTTGCGGGAGCCGTCGTTTGGCGGGCGGTGCGAGCGAATCGGAAATGACACCGATAGATAAATCAGCCGAGCGGGTCGTTCCGAAGCGCGAAGCGGGCGGCGGCTCGCCAAACTGCACCTATCCGTCTAACCGGCGCGGCGACTCGCCCACTGTAGATTGCTCGTCGTCGCTCGTTTCGTCTCGCTGCCCTTTGCGACGCGAGGATCACTCGCCGCGATCGTCGTGCTGCCAAGCCCCGCGACCGATTCTGAAGAAGAATCGCGACCAATGCCCGGCTCCCTCCTGCATGTGCCAGCCGATACCACGCGGCTGCAACTGCCCGCCGCCGGTGCAGGTGGACGCGCGCGCCGCTCACGAGTGCACCTGCGAATGCCCGTCCAGTCCGGAATGCGTCTGTCCGCCCAGCGAGCGAAGGTTCTCGGGGACCACGAGGACCTGCCCCAACGCGCGACTCTGTCGCCCTTGCCATCGTCCATCGCCCGCTCCCAAGTGTCACGATTGCACGCGTTACCAGCCGTGTCCGCCGCCACCACCCTGCGACCTATGCACCTGCAGCGAGTGTCGAGCACCAGGTATCCGAATAAGAAGGCTCGGAAAAATCGAGTTCTTTTCCATTTTTCCCGCAGATTTTTTTCCGAAAATGGTAAAAATATACGCTTGGAAGAATCGGTGTGTGTTCGGTTAAAACCTGCCACATTTACTTCTTTCTGCAAAGGAAATGATTGCGTGCTCTTTATTGAAGTTAAATGAAGTTAATATGTTTTACGTTAGGCTATTGTTCTTCGTTTGACTGCTTTATTCCAAAAGATAAGTTTGTTTCAATTAAAGCAATTTTATTAAATAGTCTTTATCTCCGTGTATAAAAGTACCGTTATAAAATCGTCTATACTTTCCGAGATATATATTCTATCTTATCTCGATACTTTTAAGTGCAATGTATCAAATATCTCGTTCGCCTCTCAGAATCTCACCTCTCACAAATAGAATTACAAGTGAAATCGATTGTTGTAAAAAAAAAAGGCCAGAAAAACCTTAAACAAAATTCCAAGTTGCATTCAGCAGACTCCGATTGACGCGCCGAAGTGCAAAAGTTTCAGTAGCGAGAAAGCAATTTTTCGCAAAGAAACTCTTCGTGTTTCCCCCAGCGATTGAGAAGACCGATTTTTGAAAATCATAGATCCAATTACCACGAGGAGCTCTTGCAGACCGTGCTCGCCGTGCGCCTCGTGCTCACCTTGCCGACCGGTTTCGCCCGGCTCCAGCAGGCCATCTTGCCGGACACCTTGCGGGAAGCTGAGCACTTGCGACGGACGTGAAGGACATTCAGGAACAGGTCAGTCTTGTCTCGGGGCCGACGATGCTGCGTGTAGCGAACAAGACTGCGAGGAGCGGGAGGAGACGAGCGATACGGCAGACGGCTCGCGCGACCATTCTTGCGCGACGGGCCGCGCCGGATCTGAGAATCAGCTCGGACGCGATTCGATACCGGATGCGGGACTTGTCGGGGATTTTGCGTCGGTTGGTCCGCCGCCGCCGAGCTCTTCCCGGCCTGTCGATCCGCCGGCCGACACGCCGGTGGGAAGCGTCGAATACGCTGCCGGAAACGCGGCGGTTCACGAAGTCGAAGTCGACTTCGGCGAAAAACTCACGGAGGATCTCGCTTTATCGTCGCCTCCGTCCGATAATCACGCGGGATCCGATCACCACGCGTTTCGCAACGTGCGTCCTTCCGTCGGCAGAAACATCCTGCGGAATCTGGTGCGCGCGAAATTATCGCGCGGTATCACCCGCTCGGCGAAAACGGAGGCAGGATTTATCGGCGCCGAATGAATCACCGCCCCGAGGTGTTGTTCCCGGCGATGACAGCCGCGTCGCGCAGGTGTTTCCGTAAACATCTCCGCGGCGGGAAATTCTGATTCGGGCGGATTCGAAACCCGTGAAATTCGTGTGATTCGACGGAACGCCTCGAAACTGCAGCCGTCTTCTCTGACGCGCGCTCGACGGCCGCTTCGCTGTGACCGAGCGGGGCTCTGCCGTCGTTTTCTCATAGCGAAAATCGAATCCTCGATTGCTCCCCAGGACGATCGGCGATGACGATAATACTATAATGAGTAAAATTCGGAGCACTCGGTGAACTCTACAGTGATTCACGGTAGGATTCACTTTCGCCACGATCCCAGGCGGAATCTCGCAGGCTGAAGCGTACATAAGGGATCGTTAATAGTCTCTAAAATTCGTAAATTCTCTCTTCACAGGGTTCCTCGTTGAAGGTAACAGTTTTGTAAACGCATATTATGTATAAACTTTGAGGCGATATTTTATACGAATTGAATTATATACGCACGATTTGTCGGAGAAGGCTATCACTGCTTTCGTAAAGTTTCTTCTCAATTATATATGTTTTCTGAAATGAACAAGTTCTCTCTTTGTAGGTTTCTCCGCAGAGTAATGGTTTTGTAGATATAACTGTGTGTTAACTTTGAGACGATATTTTATATGAATTGAATTATACACGACTTTAGGATATCAGAGAAAGTGACGTTAGCTATCACTGCTACCATAAAGTTGTCAAGTTTCCCGGTTGTGCGGATTCTCTCCTCAATTATACGAACTTTCTAAAATGAGTAAATTCTCTCTTTACGTTTCTCATTCAAGATAATAATATTATATAATATTATAGGCGCACATATTGTGCGTAAACACTTGGAGATAACGTTTTACACGAATTGAATTACGACTCGGAGTATCGGGAAATGCGACGTTAGCTATCGCTGTTTTCATCAAGTTGTAAAGCTTCTTCTCAATTATACAGACCGTTTCAAAATTCTCCCTGCGGATCGAACATGCACGGAAAGCGATTTCCACGTACGTTCGATCGTGATGTTGGGGAAACCGATTTTCCCCTCTAAATTTAATCGCGTATTTTTATCGATTCGATTGCTCGCGCTGCACACTGATTTGCACCCTTGTGTTGTGACCGAAGGACCAATGTGACACGTGGTGCGTCCAGTAGGTGACAGCTGTACGTCGGCGGGCACATCGAGCGCGCTCGTGCAGACACACGAGGGGAAGAAGAACCGAAGCGCATTCTGCAACGTGTTTTCTAATCTCGGCGGTATCGGCTATTCGACTCTACTGCCGAGCCCGCTGGCGCTAATATCCCTCGCTCTCCTGATCCTCATTGCGGTCGTCTGGTCCTCCTCCGGCTTGCTCTTTCACCGTCGTCACATAGTGCGGAGGAGAACCTGCTGGAGATACTTAGGCTTGTGATGGCGCGCGGGATGATGAAAATGACGCGAAACAAAATGAAACGAAATGACTCTCGGCCGAAATGAGCGAGCGTGCGGATAATAAGCAGGCGTTAGCGTGAACGTTGGCGCGCCAAACTCCGGAAATTTACAAGCGTCCGTTAAGCGCCACGCGAGATTCATCATTGTGCGGCGCGTACGTTGCGCTTCAGGGCGCAAAATTCGCGAAACGACGCGACGAGAAATAGCTGACCGACGTGTAACTCTGTATAAATCGTGCACTTATGCAATAAACGTTATTTCATCGTGTCGCAAGTGATATTTCAAGACGGCGATTTATTGTTGCGAAATATAAGCGGCGTCGCGCGGACGGGAGAGGCCGATGTCAAACTTGTCATAAAACTTATATATCATTAATAAAGGAGCATATTTTTCTTCATTTTCGAAAGGTTAAAGGATGTAGTTACGTTAAAATGTATATGATGTAATGAAATATTACACACGTCTCTTTTTAATCGATATGTAAAAGCGTGACAATAAACCCCGGTTTTAGTCGCCCCTACCGGACGGTTTCTTCAGACGAACCGTTTTGAGACGAAATAGCCATCACTTTGATCTGATAATCGTGTCTCTTGTGTCATCCGGTGTTTCCGGAATAGCTTCGTGTGTGATTAAGGGGACGCATCGCGCGCGGGCGATGATTATCTCGCCGGAACATTTTTAATATACGCGATACACACGCCTCGGTACTCCCCCCTCGACACTTCGGGGGAGTGACACGGCGAATGACGCTCGTGCTTTCTGTCAGTCGGCGAAATGACGCGCCGGAGAGCGTTTCCGTTCGCGTTTTTGTCGGCGTTGGCGTTCTGCGGCACATTCCAACGAGGTACATCCGCCGTCGCCGAAAGCGTCGAAAATAAGAGCGTCACCGAAAAAGCGCAGCCAGAGGGCTGCATCGAGTGCGGTTACTACAGGTATGCGCGGTATTCGCAGGTGAAACGGAATATTAATCGATGCTCGCGTATTTCGCAGCGACTGTAATGAATAAAATCAAAAGCAATTGAACGTTCGGCACTGATGGAAAATAACGGCTGAATTAAGCAAAAAGTAGCACCGCCAAACGCGCCCCGGTTGTCCACTTTCTGGTTGATTCAACCGTCAATTTTCCATCAATGTAGGGTGTTATTTACCCGATTGATTTTTCTGTCGCTTCTTTCAACTCGTCAAACAGAATTGTATTATTTCGAGGAAAGTAGCTTTTCGGGATCAGCCAATTACTGTAATTAAGTACGTCTCATTGTCATTTATCGTGTCGCAAACAGGTGTCCAGAGAACCCCGGGAAATGCTTGCTGGGCTCGGTACCCGATCCCTGCGGATGCTGCCCGGCCGGTTTGTGCGCCCGTCTCGATGGCGAAACATGCTGGAACGAGAGCATCAGTCTTCTATCGCCGAAGAGCCGCAACGACGGTTACTGTGCGAGGAATTATCTGTGCGAGTTGCGCTCCGATCTGCAGGACGAGAAGGTACACATAAAAACTTCGCGCCGTTTGTGTCGTTCCCGTCATAACCGAATGAATAATCTTCCATACTCGACGTTCGAAATGTAACATTCGCAAAAATCATTCCAATCGTGACGTTACGATGACGCCCCGATGAGAATGCCGCGTGAAATAGACGTCGTTTCTCATGTGAATGTCGACGTGACATCCACGTAGATTCTGCGTGGATGCGTCCACATAAGTTTATCGATCTGACATCCACGTGGACTTCATGTAGATACTTCCATACAGATTTTAATATCCCTATATGGGTGGTCCATGTGGAATCGATGCATCAGTGATGTGTAGCACCCATTGGCAATGGCTAATAATGATAATTGTGATTTCTGATTCTACAGTACTTTTGTATATCGTATAGCATATTGTTTCTTGTGTATTCTCAGGATGCATCGTGAACTCGTTCGCGATGTTCTGTTTATTAATCGAACATTGTAAGTGTATTCTGGAGGTAACGTCTGCATGATATGAATTGTTTTATATCACATAACCTTTCAAACTGACTTATCGTTCATTCTAAAATTCACAATAACGTTTAGTTAAAAATTCAAAAGCAATCATCGCCTTACTAGTTCGCCAATGTACATTATATTAATATCCGTCGTATATTAACTGTCGTTTATTTCAACGTCTGCCAGTAAATATATCATTACAATGTTTTATGAGCACATAAGAATACATTATATAAGTCACAAAAATATCGTCAGAGCTGTCGAAATCATTACTAGCTATCCGATCATCAAAGTGAAACAACAGCGACTAAAAAACGGGATGGATGACAGTTCGAGTTTGAAACCACAGAGGGACGGCGAAACATATGAGGAGAACTTTGTTCTCCATGCACAGCTAGAAGCTCTCTCAGCGAGTTCTTTAAATTTCATACGTAAAAAGAAACGACAAAAAGTTACCATTTGTAGCATCAAAAGCTAAATGATTTCGTTAAGGAAAGATTCACGATATGTCCCCTTCTAAAACCCAATTACTTTTGTCTGAAACATTTTTCTGTAAAAGGTATAGGAAAGAAGATGAAGTCTGTTGATGGGAGCGTTAACACAGCTCACTTTATATATCAACTAATTTTCATTTGTCCAAGTAGGATTCGCCGGTACCAATTTTCGAGTAGAAGCCAATGTTTCCTTCTGAGAACTGCGAATGCACGTAAGCGCGTCATTGAGCGCGACATTTATCACCTCCGCAAGTGATAAATTCGCTTCCCTAATTCGGCTTAAGAGAGAGAGATCGCGTTCCAGATCACGCGGTCTCTCTGTCTCTCTCTCTCACCACAAGGTAATGCGATTGCCCGTTTTCTGGCCGAATTAGCTTAACGCAAAAATGAGAATCGCGCGTCATTGCGCAAACGACTTAAGCTTAACGCGGAGCGGCGTGTATCAACGTACATCATCCACCCACTAGACCGGCCGCACTCCGTCGGAGAGACTATCCATCGCGATTTCAAGATCTCTCAGCCGCCGTTGCGACTTACGGTCGCTGACCCGCGCCGCTGGCCTTTTCGCATCTAATTTCGTCTTATCGCGCATCGTGGGTCGTGATCGCATTGAGAATATATGCGCGCGCACGTCACGCAATCAAACAATCAGGCGGACCGTTTATGATAGGGACGCGGGACAAAGCTGGATAAGAATACTCTTCTCTGTATGATCTTAAGGTAGGGTCGTGCTTAAATGTCAGAGGAGCTCTCGGAGAGCCAGGGTGTCTGTGCATACTAATAATATAGTTCTCTGATATATACGCACAAGAAAGAGAGAGGGAGATTGCGATGCAATTGAAACGTCGATCTAATCGAAATAATACATCCCACCCGCATAGGAAATTTCTTTGGGATAAGTCGAGAAAGTTATCTCGAGAGATTTCATTCCATGCTTAGAATAAGAAGGTGCTTACTAAGATGCGCTCGAAGTTTTTCGCCACTTCTCTGTAATCCAAGTATTTCATGTTATGACCGAACTCACCCAATCCGCCTGGAATAGCGACTCAGGTTACCAATATGTTAGATGTTGTCACGAGATTATAAATGCACTGTCTTTGAAAAAGTAAGTATTAATTTTATTCAATAATATATATATGTATATTAAAGAGTTTGAATGTCTAAAATTAGTATTTATTTCGTATTTAAATATGTAAACATGCAACGCTGCATGTCAGTACAATTATTTATATGATAATTTATCAACAATAATTATAATACAAAATGTTGTAATACAAAATAAGGTTATCGGTGCAAACGGTTAATATAAATTTACGGTTAATATAATTTAGTATATTTTGATAACCCGGGTCGACATTCCGGAGAGATTGGGCAAGTTGGGATTGCAGAAGATGAAATACTTGGATTATGGAGAGACACGCGTACTGCTGGCTAGTAACTTACTTTGAGCGCTACTCCATAAACGCCCGACGGGATTCCCGATTCGTGACACAGTGAGATAACTTGTTTCTGGACAATATTGATTATTCTAATCGAGATTTATATTGCATATGGGAAAATCTGGGAGAATTTCTATTACGGACAGGTACGGACGAAGACACGTATCGTTTTATTCATGAATACTGATATACGCGGCGATAAAATAAGAGATAAGGAATGAAACAGGGGATGAAAATTTTTCAACGTTCGCTTTACGACCGCGATTCTCTAATAAACCCCGTCTTTTTTTATAAAGGTGCATCGTCGGTTCCTCCATTCGGGGAGGGATTTTTATTAAATCCGTGCACGCCTCGCGGTTTTGGACGATAAAACACCCCCGAGTGTGATTCGCGAGCGAGAGGTAAATTAATCGATCGAGCATAAGAGGATGGACTCGCTATTTGAACTATTTAAGCGGTCACAAAGTATTCCTAGTTGGGCAAACTAACGGCAGCGGCAACAACAACAGTAGCGCGAGCTGTCCGCGCGAAGCGTTACGCTTGTGTGCGATAGTTTCCGTAGAAATGCTTGGGATATAGCAAAGACGTGCCGGTGCTCCAGGTAGCGCATTACCAACTTCAAACGATTTAACTTCGCCCGGGAAGTGGAACGGGAGAATTATTTTCCGTGTGCGACTCGGAATATGAAATATTCAGTCATTTGTCCGTCGAGTGAGAAAGTCGCCGGCGCGCTGCCGAAACAATAAGGGAATTACGAGAAGAATATCCTTAATAATCAGGTGAGAGCGCGAGGTGCTGCGCCCAATTAACGAGAACGATCGAACTTTTGCGGCGCAGGATGCTCCGGAGGCCATCTGCGTCTGCATGGAGCAGACCCCCGCGTGTGGCAGCAATAATGAGACTTACGCGACGCCGTGCGCCCTGCACGAGGAGGCGATGAAACTTCGAAACTTGTCCTCCCTGTGGCTGCAGCATCTCGGCCCTTGTCAGAGCAGACCGTGGATCCTGTCGCCGCTGGAGGACGTCGCCTCGCCTCTCGGCCAACGGGTCGCGCTCAATTGCGAGGCGAAGGGCTTCCCCGTGCCGGACATTTTTTGGGAATTTCACTCGGCGGACGGCAGGAGAGTGCTGAAGTTACCAGGTAGAGCGACGCGTCTTGACGTTTTTTACGTGACGCGAATCGACCACCGTTGGACGCGATTTCTTTCGGACGTCGCTCGAACGAGAGAGTTCTGAGTCGACGATATTATTAAGATCTACGATCTGGGTGTGGTAATTCGGTAAGCAAGGAATCGTTAACACAATGTTATTACGTTTTGTAACACGTAACGTTTTCAGATACGTAGTTCTTAATGTTGTATACGACGTCATTGTTAACGATATTTGAGCCGAACGTTAAAAATAATATTTCTACACTGTGACTTGAATATTTCGGAATAATACGTCATCAAGTAACAGTTTCGAGATATTTGTAAAATGTTGTGTCAAAATGTTTCTAAAATCCACGTAAAATCAATGCTCCAAAAAATTGATTTCACGTTCCTTGCTTATTGGGAAGCCCTTAGCTTTTGCTTCAAGCAATCAAATGTGATGTAATTTTGGATAAAAAGCGTTTTGCAGTAATAACTTGCTTGAATCTTAGAAATCGCAACGTTTAACAGCGCTGAAAGCGCATTTTGCTTTAAACACAATACACTTAATTCAACTAATTATATTACAACGGAAATTGTGTTAGAATTTAATGCTTGCAGCAAAAAGCTGAAGGTTTGCTGCACCTGTCATAGATCCGGCCTGAAATAAACGCGATTTTCGCTGGTCGACACTTGAACGTTCCCTCGATGTATTCACGTCGCGGGGCGAACGAAGAGACAGCATTACGACGTGCGGCAAATAACCGTTTCATTCACAGGAGAGGAGCACGAGGCGACGGTACACACGAGCGAGGGTCCAGAGCCCCTTATGCGAACATCCTGGATGCAGTTGGCTCGACTGAACAAAGAACACATTGGGATGTATCATTGCATCGCCAGCAATTCCATGGGCGAGGCGAGCGCGGCTTCGTTCGTGTCCATGTCGTGAGATTGTGCTCGCGTCCCGCGAGGTAATCTCTCACGTGACCGCCGCGCATCCACGACCCACGTAAAGAGAGTGCGGAGAGAGAGAGAGAGGGAGAGAGAGAGAGAGAGAGAGAGAGAGAAAGAGAGAGGGAGAGTGAGAAGAGAAATGAAGACAAAAGGGGAGGGGAAGAAAGGTATAACCGTTCAGAAAAAAGATTTATCTTTCTCAGCAAACGGACGTATCGCACAGGTGGTACAATTCCCAATCGCGTGACGATCTCGTCGAGACGCGCGAACCACAGTTGGCTTGTAACATCCGCTTACGATCGATTAGACTCGACTCCTTTTGTATAATCTATACTTCGATGCTTCCCCGAATGCATATTCCGCTATATTAAATCCCGATGCCGTGTAATTATCCTTCCGAGTCTGCCTGTGTGACGCGAAGTTCCCGTCCCTTGTCCTCGGTCGTTACCAGTCGCTCTGCGGCGCCGGCGGTGGCCTGCGAGGAACAATCGCGATTGTATAAAGGCAATTTCACCGGGCGAACGCGACTTTCGTACGCTCGCTTTCGATGTTACATCGCTGCAATTATTCGAGCACAAAGAGGTAACGAGAAGCGATGCTGTCTCTATTTTCAAACTGTACTCACTCCGGCGTTTGCCACGTCCTGTCGCCCGTATCCGTGTTAAGACTGTCGCTAAGCATTAACATTGGACATTGTCTTCACTTTCACAATTGAAAAGGCGGCTTAAGATAGTTGGTCCGTAAATTACAGTTTTTAAGGATCTACTTGAATTTTAACAGTATATCAAACAAAGTATGATCTACGCGCACGTGTAAAATTAGAAAAAAATTGACTATACCAAAGTTGGGATAATTTACGTATCAATTGAAGTTAACATTATTTGCATGCATCACAAGTACGAAAACGGCTTTCGAAATTACGTTTCCAATAGAACTATTAATCTTCGGTAGATTTTGAAGTATCGAAGCTTCAAATCTTCGGAGATTCGACATTCGAGTGTCAAAGTCTTCAAAAGAAAACGTTAGCCTTAATTTCTCATTCTAGCGACCGAACTACCCTTACTGTTTTAATGAATAACATGAAGAATAAAAAAGACTTACAGGAATATTATCGAAAAAAATTATAATATCATTTACCGTTTAGTTCTTCAGACATTGATATGTAAAGTAATAATTTCCGATTGAAATATATTACAGTTAACCTGTGAAATTTGACAATATTTTATGCACTACGTTTCCTACATTTATAACCCCTTGTTCGGGCATTTTTTTACAAGATAAAATGGTAAAATAATTATCAATATCTATCATCAATATATAAAAATGCAATGAATATAGAAAAATATTGGAAAAATCCAACGTTACGATCGCCTCTCTAGTAGCTGATACACTCGTGTGTGTCTAACGGTGCGTATGATATATTCCCAAACATACAGTTAACACGGACAATCCTAACTAAAAATACTATCGTCAAAACGATAATTTCTTTGTGAGTTTTTAAACATTACATAAGTTCGATTTTTCGTGCTGCAGTATCAAAACTACTGTGCGTTATCTTTCGAACGATATTACGTAACGAACCAACTATTTGAAATAAACAATCCGAACTGAGATGTACTGACGCTCTCGTCGGCAACAGGATGGCATCTCCTGCGAAACGAGATGGTCTTTTGTACACCAGCGACAAGATGTGAGCGATCGGTGTGCTGGCGATCATGACGACGACGCATAGAAACACGGCGAGCCAGAAACCATTCTGAATATTAAAAAGGGCCTCGTCGAACGAAGCGCGGGATTATGATTTTATTAGTGATTCAAGCATCGGACGGTTCGTTTTTAATCATACGTACGAGAGGGCTCAGGATGTGCGCGCAGAGCAGACGCCGGAGTCCCTGCAGCACGTCCCACAAGGGCCGACACTTGGACACTGCGGTGCCGGTCTCAGCGAGCACGTGAGTCCGCCACTGATCCAGGTAATTCGCCAGTCGGTCCACGTACGACTTCGTTTTCTGCAAAACAATGAACGGCGAATTTCAATGATCCACCGCCGTAATTTTATATCGCGCGCGAATCCGGCCACGTTTTCCTCGCGATATCATCGACCGTGTCGCCTACCAGCTGAGCGATCTCTTCGCCCCGATGGTCCACGTAGTATTGTACAGTCCTCAGGTGAGAAATGGACCGATTGACCTGTCGCCAAAGAGGCTGCACCTGCAATTCCAGCACGGCCAGTCGATACACCAGCTCGTCCTGCAACTTCATAAGCGGCTTCACCCGCCGCAGATTCAGATCCCGCATCGTCGCCCCGATGCCCTGCAACTCCCTGGCGACGCTTCGGTCCCGCAGCTGCCGGGACACGTTGTCCAGCTGGTCCGACATGGTGTCGAGATCTTTGCTCAGAATTGGGCCTCGAATCTACGGGAGAACGAGAAGAGATCGCGTTCAGCGGAGAAAATAGCTCAGCGAACGATTACTGCTCTTGATCAGCGCAGCTTCCTGGACCTGTCAAGGATCTAGAAGAACGGTCATCACGAACGTAGTCGCCGAACTTCTTTCTCTCGGACGCAGCCATTCATTCGTGTCATGGAACAAGCCGTGCAGCGTCTGAGGATGAACTTAAGACGGTCTTGAATAGAAGATCCGATTATGAATACCGGCCTGCGTTCGTGAGGGAACGACGACCCCCGGACGGCTTCAGATCGACTCTTGGGAGTCCGTGCTGCGTGGGATTTTACGAAACTCCGCGGATTGACGCGTCGCCGGGACGCCCAGCTGATAATTGTTCCAATAAACCGCGCGATGCAAAAGTGGAATGAAGATAGCTGTACGAAACATACGCGCGCACTTTCGCAACGATAAATCCCGTCCGCTCGGTTAAATTGACTTTAATTAGCGGCGGCGTTAAGCCATAATCGCAGGGAATAACTCGCTGCGAAATCCCTGCCGTTTATCATACTAGTCGCGGCCTGGCACTATGTAGCGCGATGTAGCCGCGCAATTTATTATCTTTTCTAACGGCGGTTAATAGCGGAGACTTCTCCGCCGAGGGAGATTCCTCGCGGTAAGCTCGGGGCTTTAATCAAATTCTGTCTCGAAGAGTCCACCGGAATCTCCGCATTTCGTTCTTTTGCTACTCCAGCGAGATATGCAAGCGAGAGATTCGACGAGAGATGACAAACGCACGGCCTGCTTTACCGTGATCCTGTAAGCGGTGAGGTTCAGGCCGCAAGTGTCCAGGAGATCCTGAAGACGTTGTCGCAGATTCGGCGTCAGTATCTTCAGGCCTTTCAGGTCGACTTTAATATCCGAAATCGCGGTCGAAAAACCTGGCCACGTCCAATGCGCGGTCAAATGCTCCAGTTTCATCGTACTTTCAAGCCCGAAGGCGGGGTAAGCCGCCTCGTTGTTCCGGCATTTCCTGCGAATAAACATCGCGCCGTTGGAAGCTGCAGCCCGCGTATTATATAAAAACAATCGGGACGTTTGCGCGATACTGCTGCCCGCAGGTCGTCTAATAAAAATATAAGTATGAACAAATATACGTGAATGTAATTTACAAAGGAATTGTAACAACAATCTGCGCATTGACTGTGTTCTATACATTCTGTCAGGATATATAAATGTATCGTGCGCTTTACTTGTAATGCTGGTGATAAATTAAATCAACGTATGAAATTATTAATAAATGGAATTAACCCTTGAATAATCGAGAAGCTGCTTATTCGGTTTCGTTTGCTTAGAAATGCAGCAAATAACGTGTGCCGCCGCGTAAAATTTGTATTTATCAACATACGAATCGCGTAATAGCAAACCCCCTCGCGAAGTGAGTTCCACGGCACCCGTCGTTTTCAGTTCAACTTGCGTCTTTCCGGGTAATACGATATCGGCGCAAAACTTGATTAGCTTGATTAAGATAACGTAGCTTACTCAAAGAGCTCTTTGAGGGGAACTGTGAGCCTTCTTCCTAAGAACGCTCGGGTTTCCAGCACGGCTTCCACGGCACGGTAGTCAGGATCGTAAAGCGGCCGACATATCAACATCTCCGTATGGCTAGAGATACCCAGAGCGACGACGAATACTGCCCACAGTGCAATCGAGACGAAACAGCTCGTGACCACCGCACTGAAATCCGATCGACACACTCAGTCCGGCGATCTGTCTTATTAGAGCCGCGTCTGCCCGCAGTTACTTCCGATCGCGTTCTCCGCGGTCGGTGCTCGTCGAATAATAATTTCCGCAAGTATCTGCGTGTTTTGTGATCCGAGCGGAAGAACATACCCGCGATCTTGCCAAATATCTGTCACTACAGTACAAGGGAAAGGAGGTGGTGCGAAGTGGGTAAGATGACGATTTGCTAATTTTTCTAAGCTAATAAAGCAAACAATTGCTCAATTCATTCGGAGACTTTTAATAAGTGATCTGATGTAGATTGATTACAATTTGTCAACGATAGATAATATAATAAGAGATCTATTTTTCAGATACATCCATATATAATTTTGTGATACTTCTTCAGAAAAAATTACTCAATTATTAATAAATATTTTCACTTTCTCTTTAAAAACTACCGTGTAGTAGATCTAAAAATGCATATTTAAAAACATATTATTATTTTTCATTTCTCATATTGTAATATTTTTTAATTGGATAAATAAATATAGTGACCATGGAGTAAGTTGATATGTGATTTCGTATATTTCATTTTAAACTATATAATTATAAATAATTGTTCTTATATTTGTGTTATATGGGCTAAAGTTTATTTTCTTTCAGTTACATATTGTTACAAATCATGTTTTTTGTACGCATAAAAACATTTAATTCTAATCTTCGTCATCTTATCCACGTGTGACGCCGAAAAGACGAAATTGGCATTCGCAAAACAAATTAAATTAAACAAAATTCTAATATATTTATAAATTTTTTTAATTAATTTTTTAGTTTACAGATAATAAGCGAGGTTTTAGCTACTCAGAAAAAAATCGATTATTACGTTTCTACGAAAATGAGGAGAAATCGACAAACCTTAAAGTGATCATTTTAATCTTCTTTCCTCTATTTTAAGCCACGTTCAATAATAACAAACAAATATAAGCACACAGGTAAATAAGAGTTTAAAACGCCGATGTGGTAACGAATGTATTAAATTAAAATTATTATAATACAAATTAAATATATGAAATGCAATATCGAACGATAATGAATATTTGTATTATAATAATTTTTAATTAAAATAATTTTATATTATTATATTACAAGAGTATTATAATTATCGTTCGATATTTAATTAATATTTGTAATATAATAATTTTAATTTGATACATTCGCTATTACATCGGCGTTTTAAACTTTTATTTACCTATGTATTTATACTCGTTTTTTACTATTGATTATACATCATTACACCTCTATCTACCAACTTCTATCTATTTAAGCCGCAATGTTGATAATTGTGCATTCCGATGAGTTTCTGCCGAAATTTAATGTAAAATTTCATACATATCTAATATAAAGTTATAATATCATGCATGTAAATGGATATTAATGAATATTTATAAGAAAGTTGCGCTTACGCTTGCCCGCGAGGTGCCTTTGCTTTTAATTCAAGGCGGTTGCTACGACGAAATGTACTTTAAATTAACAGGCGATGCCTTGGAATAATGAAGGTAATTGTAGAGTGCAAAATGCGGAGATAATCCGTGCCGCTTGTGCGCACAAAAGGAACCGGCGAAGTGAAGTAATTTTCACTTTTCAAAGTCTCTCGAGCAATATTGCATGCCGAGGTGAAGTCGGCGCGCGCTTTTCATTACTTTGCGCTCTGTCGAACAAACAAAGTGATATGTGCGGCACGAAAGAAATTCGCCTTTACGTTAAGCCATAATATGCTTATATTAATATGCATTCCCTCATAAAGAAAATTTTTGTCGGTTTTCCTTTATCTTATAATTATATATTTTTTAACTTTGCCTCTCTCTTTCTCTTTCTCTCTTTCTGCACCGGTGCTCGTTCGTTACATTCACAAGAACTTTATGTAAAAATCGTTGTAGTCTATAACAATATATCTGATATGGTATCGGCGTAATATTGCAAATTCCACGACACGTCGATGTCACTCGATAATTTCAAAGCCCCAACGGGCAATGTTCCTTTCATAATAGAACGCATCAAACTATTAATCGGATAATCGTTGAATTATACAACTATACACATTTACTGACAAGTCGATTGTTAGCCGGCGAAATCTCCGTGACAACATTTCGCGACAATGGCGGCGAAGGATCGTTGGAGTCTTGCCCGTACTCGAAATTTTCAATTCTACAGCCAAGTCTTCAAGCGAAAAGGACGGGAATAATTTCCTACTTGTAGCACAAAGGAGCGCAATAAGTGTTTCTCTTTTAATCCCACAAAGGGAATTTATATAGTCCTGCAGAGTCTAAATTTTAGTCCTACGTTAAGTCTTTAAGTGAAGAAAACGGCAATAACTTCCACATTTTTAGCATCAAAGGAGCGCAAAGGAAGATTTTCGGACACTTAATGTAGAATTAAATTAGACTTAAAGTGGGACTAAAATTTCGAATAGGCCGAAGGGAAAATATTTGACGGCGCGCTTTTACTACAATTTATATGAGTTTACGCTTACCACAAAAGAGCCGGACGCACTTTGTCATCGGACGAGCCGCAGCGGTAGCATAGAGCCCCGATCAGTAAGAAAAAGACCGGCAAAACGCACAGCACGGTAGCTGTCACGAGTAAACGGAACGTGTATTATTTGCCACTTGCTCCGGATCGTAAAAGATGCGCGAGCGAGTATCGTGCGTCTTTACTGACGTTTCCTCGTTATATACAATATGCATTCGCAGCGATTTTCCTTGCAGAGATAAAAGTTACTTATAATAATTAATATCTGTCTGAACTTCAGCATAGAGTTACACGTAGAAAAACAAATTGGTCGAATTAACAATAAACAATTCGGTTTCACAAGCCGATGATCGACTCGATATCGATGGTTGATTTTTCGTATCATTCGACTTGATAACTATCGTAAAATGAGGTAACTTTGACGCAAAATTTAATGTTTTCTTTTTAACTTTACAACCCATTGGATAAAATTTTAAAGAAACTACTAGTTATTATTACTTCCAATAATTTTCTCTTTGCTTATAACGAATGAAGGAACAATTTTAGCGGGTGTTTTAAGTTCTTCGATTTTTTAAAGTTCTCAAAAAATTATTCTCGTATCCTTCAACGGAAACGTTTGGTTCGTTCATCGTCGTATTAATACAGCCAATCTTTCTTCCCCGCATCGGAACTTCCCGCCGCGTTTTCATTGCGTTATCCTCTCTCATTCGATTTCTAAGTGTCTCGCGCGAATCGATTTTCGTTCTTTTCTCTCCCGCTTTTTTTTTCTCATTCATATGCCGATGGCGCGAGCGCGCCGAACGACGAGGGGGAAATATTCAATGTAATCGTGAAAAATTCCGCATACCTGTACCGACGATCCATCTGACATGCTCGAAAGCGATGACACGGGGTATAACGTAATCCACGGCGCTCCTCGCTAAATCCAGCTGCTTTGAGAGTTCGAAACTGCTCGTCTCTACGCCGCGCGTTTGATCGACAATCCTGGCACGTGCTGCATTGATCTCGCGCCGAATCTCTACGGAAATATGGAATTTATCTACGTTTCTGTCATCTCGCAATTTCGTTCAATGCGTGTAACAGAAATGGAAGGATACTTGAATATATGAACTGCGCATTTTAAGCGAGCGTGCGATCCATTTCGCTCGTAAATCTCCGCGATAAAATAAAAATGCCGGCCCGATTTTTTCGGCCCGATTTTATTTCCCGATGTGAAGTCGGACGTATCGTGCGAAAGTTCATGATTAATAACATTTGTCACGTGCGAACAAAACGGGGGGGGGGGAGGGACTCGAGGTTCTTAGAACGCGTGTGACTCAATGATACTCCTCGTCCTCCTCCCGCGAGATTACATTACGCCGTTTTTGACGGGAACTTGGAATTCCTCTCGCATGATAATGCGCTGTCAGCTGGGAAATTTATTACAAGACGATCGCGCGCGGCGGATGTACTAAGACTATACGGAAAAAAATATTTCGCCGGCAAATTTCTCATTACTATGCGGACAGCAAAAAGATTTGTTACACGGGCAAAATAACGTTGCTGTTGTAGCAAAGTTGTAGTTCACTTGGCATGACCAAATTATTTATGTATCCAGCAAATAGCAATTAATATTCTTAACAAGTCTTTTCGCTGTCCGTAGAGTAACTGAGAAATTTGCTGTGCCAGCAAAATCCTTTTTCCCCTGTAGTTACATAAATTTTCCAGGAACTCCTTTTCTTTCGGAAAATTCCCTTCCGGGCGTAAGAATACTTTTGTTTGTTAATTACCGAGTCACTCGACCGTTCATCACACACATACGTGTAGAACTACTTTGATAACGAATTTTCTTCGTATAGAACTGAATTTTCCCTTGGACCGCGTGGAACTGTTTAAAATTGCTTCGTAATAATCTCCGATGTCGAGGCTGTTCGACTTGATTCACTTTCGGCGATGGGACGAATCTTTACAAATTTTTATTGCGACCTCTCTCGCTCTATCTATTAGGGGGACCGGAAAGTAATGTCGCTTTCTTAAGTTAAATTCACACGACTACATTTTTAACAAGTTTTTATTTCTAATCAACAATATATTCACCTTCGTTATCAGCAACCTTTTGCCATCTAGTATATAAATTTTCAATGCCGGAGCGGTAAAAATCAATCGGTTTTTCTGTAAAATATGTCGAGATAGCATTTTGGACATTATCAAAATTTTCTAATTTTTTGCCACTAAGACAATGTTGCAGTGATCGGAATAAATAGTAATCCGAGGGTGCAATATCGGGCGAGTATGGTGGGTGAGGCAGTACCTCCCACCCCAATTCGTTAATTTTGTCTAAGGTCCGTTTTGCACAGTGCGGTCTTGCATTGTCATGTTGCAGAATAACTCCTTTTCTGTTGACAATTGCCGGATACTTTTCAATCAAAGACTGGTTTACTCGTTCCAATTGTTCACAATAGACATCTGCATTAACAGTTTGTCCAGGTTTTAACACTTCAAAGTAAACAACTCCGCGTGTATTCCACCAAACACACAGAAGTGCCTTTTTGGGGTGTAAACCCGGCTTTGCAGTAGTTCGTGCAGTATTTCGGCTGAGTCACTGCCTTTTGCGTTTCGGATTGTCGTACAAGACCCATTTTTCGTCTCCAGTGATCAAGCGATCAAAAAACGGATCTGTACGGTACCGTTGAAGCAATACGTTGCACGTGATGGACTGGTTGGCTTTATTCTGTTCGTACAGATTATGGGGGACCCAAACACCAGCTCTGTTTATTTTTCCAATCTGCGGCAAATGTTCTTGGATGGTTGACCAAGGTTGGTTAAGGCTGTTTGAGAGTTCCTCAATTGTTTGACATGGATTTGCTTCCACTTCTGCTCTTAGCACGTCATTATCTAATGTTGTTGGTCTTCCTGATCGATGGGCGTCCGAGAGATCAAAATTGCCTGATCTGAACTTGGAGAACCATCTTTGGCATTTTCGAACGTCCAATGCGCTTGGATAAACATCGCAAATGTTTTTAGTCGCAGCAGTTGCGGTATTACCCTTGCGAAACTCAAAAAGCATACAATGCCGGATATGCTCTTCTGGTATTTGGCTGGCCATTTCACCCCAAATTGCAAAAAAAAAGTCTAATACTTAATTATTCAGAAGCAAATATGATACAATAACCTCAAAATCTCTTTGACACGCCTTCCAAATACGTAATAAGCTACCAAATGACAATCAAATATCGACATGCGCAGAAACGACATTACTTTCCGGTCCCCCTAATATTTATCTAACCATCTCTCTTTCCCCCCCTCCCTCTCTCTCTCTCTCTCTCTTCATTTCTTTTCTCACGGAGAATAATATTAAAGCGATATGGATTTCGCATTATACGGTGATCGTCATCTATCGGATCTGTCTACTAGCGGCGGGCGACAAGCGTTATTGGTCGAACGGCGAGTTAAGAGAAGTTGACAGGAATACAAGTCCGCGCGTCGGTTCATCGACATTCCAGCGCTGCAGCATCCATCATCTCCTCCGTTCCTTCCTGAATATATCCTCAATTTTCTTTATTAACAGTTTCCGCGGCGTATTTTCACTCTTTATTACTCGGGAAAGAGCAGCATTCATCATTCGGCAACGCGCGTACATTTCGCGTCGCGCACGCTCCCGTTTCACACGTTTACGTCGATGCACGTGCAATTAATGAGATACATTTTAAGATCGCATTAGTTGCTAGTCAATTGCAAGCGTGCGAAACGTTTGTAGCGACAGCCAATCAGAAGTGTCAATAATATTATTCATTGATACTATTGACGCTTCTAATTGGCTGTCGCGTTGCATATGCTTGTGATTGACTTGCGACTGATGTAGAACGACCCTTAAAGTCACGGACTGGTTCAATATTTCATTCGATTGTAACGACGGAACAGTTATAATTTACAATCTACAACAATGGAGCCGTTGAAAGCGGACTGCTGTATACCGATGTAAGCCGATTACACGACAAAACGAAATTTGCACTTTGTTAAGAAATAAAGGCGAGGGGGGATTCGTATTACACAGATTGTTTCGATTTACATTTGAATTTGTCGTTCGCACTCAGAAACGGAGAGAATCTCGTTTCTTAACTTATGTTTTGAGCCATTGACGAACTTAAATAAGCGTCGATAACGTAGAGGCGATCCTCGAAATGTTATGTTACATAAATACTGACAAGATCACTACTCTGTATTTGTATAACTGTCCTAATTATGGATCATTAAGGTTAGAGTAACTTTCATTCATTTACAGAAGTTGGGCGGTCAAATACTAAAAGGAACTAGGAATGCCAACAAATATTTTGGCTTTTAAACGGAATTATGTGATTTCAAGTTCATTGATTCGAAATAAAAAGTAATAATTAGAAAAACATGTTTTTCTTAAATATCTACAATGTTTCTGAGCGTAACCTCAGAATACGATAATTGTAAAATGAATTAAAGAATATAAAAAAAATATTTTTCCATATTTTCATCATAATGTGTTTTTTAATATATTAATAAATTAATAAACAAAGTTTGATCCGGAGGACTCGACCCGTAAATGGGATCGTTACTTTAGGTCTTACGTGAATGTTTGTGCGATATAAATGTGAATAGGATAAATGTGCGCATTCTGTTTCCACCATATCTAACGGAGAATCTAACCAAAATATATAAAATTTGTATTGCAAATTTTTCGTACTTTTTTAAGCTTTTCTATGCAATTGTAAAGATGCAGAAATATTCGTCGAAATTTCCCTCATCGGAGCAAATGCACGTTCGATACGTGCATGTTGAAAAATGTTTGTTTTAGGTAAATGTTTATTGTACTTAACAGGTCGGGATTTCAGTTGTGAAATTTTTATTTATTTTCCTCACACATTGGACGATGTTTCAATTCAATTTTTCGCACATATTTTCGTTATGCAGAAGCATTTGTAATTCTCTGCAATTGAGACATAAACTTTCTAGGAAAAAATCAGTTTTTCGTCGATAAGGTTTTCAAGTACAGCGTCGCCTTAAGAAGCCACTTGTGCGGCTTTAGATTTTCAATCTCACCGTACGATACGAGAAACAAAGAGCGGAGAATCGGCAGCTAACGTCACCATCACACGTTGGTGGCAAGTGTACGACTCGCGTCCTGGAATTCATCTTTAAGTAAAAGCTGATCTCACTAGTGTTACAGAGTACACACATCGGCGTCTAACGAGTAGAACAGGTCGGCGATATGACCAGACGGGCCGTCGACGCGTGACTCTCTCGGCATCAATCACCGATCCCATCGCGAAAGTTTATGTGTATACACGTGTCTGCCTCGGGGGAGATATATAACACGATCACGGGGTCTCGACAAAGATGTTTGCTCGAAGCATTTACCGCGTTTCGTTTGTCTATTAAGGATAAAGTCCCCTGACTCCTTTCCCCTTTTTCTTCCCGTTGATCTCGCGCTCATCGCACGGTCCGTAGTAGAAACGCTGACGCGTATTCCCCCGACCCGTGACGAAATATCGTTTATACAGTACGACGTGGTGGGAGGGAGGGTCGTGCAAAAACGCTATTGAGAAACGCGACGTTTCTGCGTTAAACGACCCGGCACGATCTACAAAAAAAAAAACAGAGAGAGAGAGAGGAGAAGAGAAGAAAGAACGGAGAAAAATGTAGCGGAATGTTTTAACAAGCCGCTGATTTAGTCTCGCGTGCGGATATGAAACTTTTGGAAATCTCCGTTCCTTTTTCTTCCTTTTTTTTTACTTATCAAGCAGAAATCCCCTTGCAGTCTTGCGTGTAATTCCAGACGCGTGATTACGCATAGAACGTATAACCGCCGGTCATCGTTATAAAATCAAATCGACCTTCTCGACCGCGCGGTGACGTTGAAATGAGAAGGCAAAAAGCGCACCGGATCGCGAGATAAACGCGAAATTAAACGGTCGCGTTCAGTATTGGCATCCAGTGGCATTCGGCGATTGCGAGGACGCGTCGGGATTTCCGTTCGCGGGAAGACCCGGTGTCGAAGTTAATTAAACGAAAGCGAAGCGCGAGAAACACGTACGCGCCCCGCGTCTCCCCGGGTGTTCATAAATTAGCGAGTCATAACGTGAAATGGCAATTATTCGTGTCATCTATTACTTTCCCGGCGGAGCCGCCTTGAGCCATTTAACTCGCGCCAGCTCTCATAACATCGTGAGAGAAACCCGAAGGAACTAATTTAGCTTTCTTCGGGAGCGCGCACTCCGGCCCAAGTTTCTGCGCTAAAGTGTCGTCCCGGTCGTCATCGCGTATGCCGTAACGTATCATAATACGTGGCGTCGGTGTCAGAAAGTTTTCTGACGCGTCCCTTTCCTCCTTCGCTCGCTGATCCTCAACCACGCTCAACCATCCTCGACTAAATTCTATAGGGTCCGCACTCGCCCAGACCCTCGAGACTCGCTTGGCTGCAGCCAGTTTGTATCGAAAAACCTCGTCATCGAGAAATACGCTCCCCCTCTCCTCCCTCTTTTTCTCTCTCACATAGCGGCGAATTTTTCCAATATCAATTCGGAGAACCGTGAATATTCTACTTACGGTTTCGAGCGTCCAACGTGGTCCTGGCGATGTGATGCGGTACACGGAGATATTCTCCGCGAGCTTGGCGTCCCGCTTCCGTCAAATTTTCCCGACCGATGCTCCGTAGACGCAGCAGACGATCGTCCTTCAGTAACTGCAACGTACATACAGGGCGTATCGGAATAAGCGGATCAAATTTTAATGGAGGATTCTTCGCCGAGTAGTCAACTTTTCCTGTGCGGAGGCACGTCGGCCACCGTACGGAGTAACTTCTACGGTGTTAAAAACCTTGGGAGGAGCGAATACCTGTAAATGCGTGCACGTCGGATACGTCGACTGATTCGTAAATAAATGGATCTCGCTTCGACGGTGGTAGTTTATATTTGAGACTCACGAGCCCGCACGAGCGTATACGCGTATCGGCGAGGTCGAAATTGGACAGCAGAGATAAATGATGACCCTCTACGATGTTTGTTACAACAAAATCGCTTTTAAACGCCGGGGCGACGTGATTTGTAAAGCCGTTAAAATTTCCATGCCATTCGAAATGTTGTTCATTAATTAAGTTTTATCGAGGCGAATTTTTATCGCATGAAGGATTTCGAGAGCCGAGCCGAGTTGGGCGAAATGATGAGTCGAGGTGATAGAGCGAGAGTTGAGCGCGAAAAATATTTACGCTATTGTCGCGTAACGCGGTTGCACTCATTCGATAACAATGAGAAAGGAGCGCGCTTGAATTCGAGGGTGTTTATGGCCGCGTGTAAGCTCGGAGGAGGAGGCGTGCGAGCTTTGTGACTGAGGAAACACGGAGACTCATGAAGTTTCCGCCGCGGTGATCTCGTCTGTTACAGTCTCTGGATCGCCAATTTTATGTCATTGTACGTTTATAGACTCCGATACCGATACCGGCCAATAGGATCCGGCTTGTTCGTCTCCTCCGAGCGAATAATCATGATTTTTCTTTCGAGATGCAACGAACCAGGCAAAATTGGCGAAACGAAACAGGGAATCGCGGAGAGATCCAAAGATTACGATCGCGGTAAAGCTCACAATTGCGGCGTAGCGCGGCGGCGATTAAACGAAGCGGCTGCGGCGAAAATGAAGGAACAAACGCGCAGGAAAGTGAAACGTATTTGGCGCGTAAACGAATACGGAAGGGAAAATAAAAATGGAAGGAAAAAGTAGAGGGAGAGACAGGAAGAAAAAGAGAAAGAGAGAGAGAGAGAGAGGAGTGATCACAGATATAAATATCACGCGCGTCCGATTTTCATCGAAATCGAAATGAACCGGGAAGGAGAGATAATGGAAGTTAAACATCGTTACAGCCGTTGATCAAACGAGCGTAACCACAACACCGTTTCAACTGTCCCCAAACCGTATACGTCGAATCTCGCCTGATCGCATTTTATGACCCTTTCCATTCGCATTTATTTAGATAAATTTTGCAGCGTGATATAAATGAAATATCCCCGTGCCGAGTCATAATAAAAAAAAAATCCCGACCGGTCGAGAGTCAGCCAGGTTATTTATCCTCCTCCCTCCTCTCGTCTCTCTCTTCATCGTCCGTGTGGACGAGCGAACGAACCTCAGAACGCGCCCGTCGACCGAACAAGCGTCAATCGTAAAGTTTATTCACCCGTTCTATCCGTAGATCCAGGCGAATCCCCGAAGAGTCAATGACAGCACAAAGGGAACGATCTGGACCGGAGCACGCTCTCACCGCGCCTTCCAAGTCCCGCCGTATCTCGTCCGTTTCCCTACTCAATTCCGAACCGAGCTCTTGCACTTTCTCGCCCTCCCTGAGCAAAGACTCGACCCTGGCCGATAACTCCTGCGTCGCTGAAACATACGGCGCGATACCGTTAACGTATGTAGTGCCGCACCCTCTGCACCCTCGAGTTTGCGAGCGCGAGTCCCGGTCCGTCTTTAGAATCTCGAAGAAATGTCATTAGCGGACCGCGCCAATGCATTCGAGTGCTTGTTTAAGGATGTATTGCCCATTAATGCCGTATTTTCAATGGAGCATCAAGAGGATCCATTCATAAATTTTCTATTTGTTAAGCAAAATTACATTCCTATATATTTATTTCACAACCTAAATATATATATTATAGATATAAAAGTGTTATTTTTTGTTTTCCTTATTAAGGTTGTATTTATGCATCAGTTGATCTGATACATGGAAATAATATTAGCTTTAAATCAACGATAGATATTCTCGTATATAAGCAAAAATATTATAATCTTCTTAGAGGATTTTTAACCTTGATTCGACCGAATTTGTATTGGTGCAGGTATCACTCGCATTCATTTCAAGATTAAAAATCTTGTAAAAATATTATCATATTTTCGTTTATATCTGATAATATCTATTATTGATTTAAAACTGTTCTTTTGTGTGTAGGGATACACAGATAATTGAAAAGGGTATATAAATATGTAAATGTGTGCGTATTTACATATATTTCGAGTATTATTATAAGTTACAAACTTTACACCGCTGTATTTTCAAAACAAAATGGTCAATAATTACGAAACTTACTTTTATTGTCAAACTTTAGGTGTTACTTTTAAATGCAATGTAGATAAATTTGTAATTTCTTCATAATTTTTTCATTATTTTGACTTCGGATCAATACATCCTTAACTGGTAATCCTCGAGCGCGGTCACGAATGACACGTAACGCCGATATGAGGTTTCGCAGTAATTTAATGAACCTTCCGCGTTTATCTCTTCGCCCGTGCCTAATGATAATTCAAACCAATAGCGTTAATAGTGCCGGGACGGATTTTCGACATACTGGGCGCCCAAGTAGGTCGTCAAACCATTAAGCGACAACCGATATAACAACGATCGTCCGATATAACGAAGCTATTTATAAGGCATCGTAACTCGTCATTTGCATATTAGACTCCGTCCTCGTACTGATGGGGAATATACGATACGCGACGACGCCATATCACGTCTCCGAGCACTCGCTACTATAACAGGTTTTCGTTACTTGAATTAATTCGCTGCAAACGCGCACACTGACGCGAGGAGAGTCCCCGGAGCCGATGGTTATGTCTCTGCTCGAGGTATACGGCGTGTCCAAAGTTGGAATTTTGTTAAACTAACCTATATTAAACATTTAATTCTACGATATATTAGAAGGTAAAATAGCAAAATAGATTCGCTTTCAAATAATATAATTTAATCATTTTCTGGCCCTGATATGATGTCTTTAATTTTCGTTTTCGCTGCTTTAGCGTTAAAATACGGAGTTCACAATAGCATTAAATCTGTAGAAATAAGGATTCAAGAAGGAAGTTAATAAACGTCAGTATCGTCGAAATAGGTTTTTATTGGTCTGTAGACCATCTAAGTAAACTATGCTTAAGAGCTTCAATTATATGCTGCGTCTTATATAAAGAAAAGTAAAATATCAAGGAATGCTACAATGATATTCGTCGCGATTCGATAGAATATTGATACTCAGAACGAGGTAAAAATGGCATTACACAGAATAAAATTAATATCAAGATTCAAGATTCGTATTCTCATATGTAAGCAAGAATATATAGTCTTATACAAAGATGAAACTTGCTCGTATACGCGGAGAAATTCTACATAGATCCACTAAAATATATTTATATTATTCAAGAATGATTTTCATGAATTAAAAGGAAAAAAATATTGAATAGAGAAAAATGATATCTTCAAACTAAGAATTGTACCAGATTTATCTAATATTTTTTCCCTTCAATTCGTAACAATTAATCTTGAATGACAAGAATATAATATTTTTCGTGGAATTATTTATAGAATTTCTTTATGTTAAAATAAATTTATCTTCATACAAGATTACACATTCTTGCTTATATTTGTGAGGATATGAATCTTGAATATGAATCTTATATCTTGGATATGAATCTTGTATTGAACAACATTCATTTATTTCCCGTGTACATTCGCGTATTTAACCGCGTAAAATGTTTGATGTCACAACGAGTAAAATAGTCTTTCTTGCGAGAAATGTAGGCAGCGAGTTTAATTAGAATCGACAGCGAAAGGCCAATAGGAACCGTTAATGTTGACCTTTGGCCTGATTTGACGTCATAGAACTTCCGCAGTGTTCTTGAAACACTTAAAATTATACCTGGGGAGGGGGGGACAAAGGAATGTATCGTTTAATAATTACCACGCGACAGTTTTGAAATGTCCTAAGAAAGTTTTTAGGAACTTCTCCCCCTCCTGCAATTAAAATTCTCTCTAATTAAAACTTCCAGACGTCGCATCAGGGCTTCGTTTTTTCCTGTTTACGTTGCCTCGATGTCGGTAGCCTGTTATTCGCTCCGAATCTCATTTCGGAGGCCGGCTTCGTGCGCATTTTTCGCTCTGTTCTGACTTATCGCCGCGTAATTATATTTTCAAACGGCTGAACTCGAGCAATACGTAGAATCTGTTAATTCAAACAAGTGGAGGTTCTTGCAGAGAAGCGCGGGAGGGAACGCTTAATTTCGTTCGCAGAACAGCTCGCTCTCTCTCACGAAGCCCCGACCGACAAGGGCGGTTCTCGCGAACGTTTCGTCATGAGTCATGATCGTTTTCGGGACACCCGGTACGGAACATTAAGTACCGCACGTACGTACGATACACATGTAGTGATTACGCGAGAGGTTGCACGAAAGGAGATAGCAGGAGCGAGGGGGGGACCTGTAGTTGCTGTAGTACCTACTAATTTAGTTAGTATACTGTTAGTAACTTAGTACCGTGACTAAGTGACACTTCGGGTCCAGAAGGTCACTTAACGGCGGGGGAGTTCATTGGAAGACCGAATAACCTCACCAGAAACAACCTAAACTGCCCGTAACGTCGGCCGAGCTTGCTTTCTCGAAAATAGCGCTCACACCGAGTACAGCTGCGTTAATTACTTGCGCTTGATTAACCGGACACTCGGCGAGAGATCTTTTCCGGGCCGCCTTATTAACGTGAGGCTCTCCAAAGTGCGCTCGAACTCAGAGCGGCCAGAATCCCGTCCGCCTTTCCCTACAGGAATCGAATCTATCTACACCGAAGGAGAATAGAATTCATTTTCTTAGTCGTGTCGCGAAACGTTAAAGAGATCCTGACACTACATGCCATATTTCCACTGGTGCATCAAGGTGGCCTTTCATAAATTTACTATTTATTAAGCAGAATTTCGCTTCAATACATTGATTTCATTATCCAAATAATAAGTGTTAATTTAAAACGAAGCTGAGATCAATATATGTACATGATGTTAGGAAAATATTATTTTCTATTTTTCTCATTGGTACTATATTTGACCGAACGCTCTAACCTCCTTAAATCCTTAAATCCTTAAATGCTCTCTCGCGCTCTCGCAGATAGCGAACGTGATGAAAGCACACCGGGAGTCGTCAGATTTATTTCGGCGCGGCCGAGAGCAAACGTCGCTCCTCCGCGCGCACAATTCGACGCATAAATTAATATACGTAGGACGAATACGACGTGTAGATATTACGGTTATGAATATGCAAACATTTCGGCGCACCGTCACCTACCCTGCTCGCGCTAACAAACGAACTATAATATTGGCGCGGAATATTCCCGGCGATATCCGTTGCGGCACGTGGTAGTCGGGGTAACAAAGGTCCCGGGGGCTCTAATTTGTCGCGTTACGGGACCCGGCGATAACTTAAGAAAATGTTTATCTCCGTGTTTATTACGATCGTCTGTTATACCGCGCGGCAGTTGCAAAACGCAACGCTTTAACGTCGCGGGTAGCCCGCGGCGTTGCTACTACGTCGAGCGAAATTATGCGCGGACTGCTTTACAACCACTGCTCTTTTGCGCTTGGAGCTTGAAAGGCGAGTGGCAGAGGTAAAGGACGGCATCAAAATTGGGCGCAAAATCGCGCGGTTCTCTCTCTCGGAAGAGATACCTCCTCAAGATATTACCACTGCCCCGAAGTGCATTCTGAAATTGGCCGACATCGCGTGTCGGATTCTCTCTCGCCGGATATCCTTCGCGTATCGTTCTTTTACCGTTTGCCAGGTCAACGAGCGCGTCCAGCGCGACGTCGAGTCCAGTCTCGGCCGAGAGTTCAGCCTGCACGGGTCCGCCCAATAATTCCTCGACATCTGTAAAACACCAGCGAGATATCATTGCGAGACCCGCCTTTGTCCCGCGTACGTAACGTATTCCATTAATACACAAACACACGCGCGCAAACGGCAGCGAATGTAGCTTAATATTTCGCGGCATTTGAGGTAATGCGTCGCGTCGTAAGAGGGTGTCGTCGGCCATCGAGAATCCTCGGAAACAATTCGATACGGAAGCGGACAAAGGGGCGGAACATTAAAAATACGGATCGGGGCAGCGAACACCCGGCACTCGCGGTGTATAGACGCGACATTGTAAATCCCGTCACGTCGGTTCGTGGCGGTAATAATTTATCCACCCTGTATCCGCGCCGGTTATCGCGATCTGATAGGAATTGCGGCCCGGTGGTTTGATAATACAGGACCGTTCGAGGGAGGAGGGGGGAAGGGGTGACGCGAGATCTCCGATAACAATTAAAAATATATCCCCCCGTTTTTGTATGTATGAGGAGCTGCGGTTTTCCCGTCCGGACGAGACAGACGGCGGGGAAGGCCGCGCATTCCGATGCGCGGAGACGATACCTCGGGATCGCCGGAGTTTAATTCGCGGTATCGCCGCGCTGGACGATTCCGCCTTATGATATACGTCTCTCGGTATAGGCGAAAGAAATAGCCACGGTTGTCGATAAACCGTATCGTTGTCGTTCCACTCGATGCGCAGTACGTGATCTGAAATCAAGACGGCGCGCCCGCGCGCGCTTTGTACCGCAAACGCGCATAATGCACGGCGGTTGCATTGCACTAACGAGCTCAATTTGCCGGGGTCGTTAACGTGCCGTACGACGATGGGCCCATTACACGACGATTATAGACTGTCGATAGCTTTCATTAGACGTCTATGCGTCTCCTCTAAACGTCGTTAGACGACGGAGCCGGACATCGGCGCGCCGACTCGGTAATTCGCGCGAGCGTCCGACCTGCGCGCACAATTCACCTGTATAATGCTGGACGGCGAAATTACCCAACTATCGTGAAATTGTTGTATACAGGGTGTCTCGATTTACGGGCGTCCGAGTGCCCGCCTATTCGAATGGAACTCGTCGATGGCTGGTCCAAATATAAGTAATCGAATTGACAATACGTAACAGATATTTTATTATCTTCACCGTACATCGTCATTTGGTTTCCACTGTTGCTGGAAAAGTCACTGCATTTGCCAATTTTTTCCCATTAATACCTCAATTCATATCTCAATAGCGTAGTAATTTGAAAAATGGTAGAGGAACTTTCGATTCAGTTCAATGAATTCTGCCTGCACACGAGCACTCGGATATTTAAATCTCCAGGTAGACTCTATGTCCGTAACAATTTCGTACTCGCTGCAAATCGGCGGGGAAGCCAATCTGCATATTGTGCTCCGTTGCTTCCAGCCAATAATTAATTTTTCAAGCCCATCCCAATTCGTGCTTTTTATAAGACAGATTAAGACTTCGCTTTCACAAACCGGGTGTTGAAAAATACCATAGCTGAAAAGTAGAATATAATAAAAGAAATTCGAACGGAAATATATTCTACGTGCGCGAATGAAAAATTCGCACGCGTCACACAAATTTTATGTTGCAGAATATGTTCTGACGCTCATTAATATTATGGATCTGAATGTAAATCTACGACTGAATGGGAGCTCTCTGCAAAGATTACATGTTGTAAAAGCGTGATGGGAATTAAAGAATAATACCAAAGAATATTTGCGCGTACGCGATCAACAACTACCCAACATCGCGGAATTCTATTTTGCTCTTACTCTTTTATGATTGGATTTTAAATTGGAATCTCCGTCGCTTTTTTCGTGTTACATGAATATACTGAAAATGCATGTGAATTTTCTTCTCGTGAATGAAGTATTATGTTCCTGATGGATAGAATATAGGGTCTAAATATACGAGAATTGCGGGAGACGAAAGAGTGAGGGAAAGGAAAGCAAGACAAGAAAATAAAAGAAAATTCGTCTTAAACTGAGAGTATTTGTCTTTTTGTGTAGTTAAAGGTTAAGAACGAAATTCGACGGAGCAAACCCGAAATTTTAGTGCAACTTTGCAAATTTCGCCAAACTGGAAAGACTATCTAGAATGTCTCGAGATACAGTGTTGTGGACTATTATTTTATCTTGATATACAAATAGTTACTTCTCCCTGTCTTTTCCATGTTTATATTTATAAACAGGAATTTATTTTTTAATTATTTAATAAATATTTAATATATATATATACACTATTATATGTTATTGTCATCAATCAATATATTTATTTATTATTTTAATATTTATTTCAGAGAATTTCATTTTTGATTATTTCAATATCCTAGCTGCATTTAATTTTCAATCTGAAATTCGGAATATAATATGTAATTTCACGTGCATGGAAAACATGTATCACTGCCGGCGTTCCGAGTCCTACATTCTCCGATCTAATTTCCTTATCCAACATCCTGACTTTCGGTTGTTCTATTGTGACATTGTCGTTGACACTCACGTAAATGCGCGATTCGATCGGCGTGTTAATACATCCCGTGCCGATTTTTACGCGATTTTCAATTCGTTATCAATTCAAGCCGCGTTATCAATTCAAGCCACCAAAAACGCTATATGATGTGGAACTTGATAAATGATATAAATAAACATGATAACAAAGTATAAATCGATGATAAGACAAATTATTGTACTTTGTCTCTTAATGATAAAAATATCGGCGCGAAACCGTTTAGCATGTGCCGAAAACGTGTAACATAGAACGTTCATTAACGTGTATCATAGAACGTTAATTAAGCGATGTAGAGGCGAGATGTCCTCATTAAATATTTCAAAAGCCGGCCGATATATTTTTATCAAGTTCTAACTGAATTAGCATGACTAATTTAACGAAAATTTATACATATACTAATATACATAATAATATACATTCTCGGGGTTGCGTTAATTCGTCGGGTCGAATCGTAATAACTCCATCATGGAGAAGTACACGTGCGACGAAACAAAAACAATAGGCGAAAAGGGCTACGTTACATGCGCTGATCACAACAATGGACACTTTCCAAATATTCCGAGTCCTCCAGCTATCAAATATACCTTCGTGCGTCGCGTAATTTCTCGAGTTTCCATTTCATTTCGTACTAACGAGCCGGAGCATACCACGAAGTATATGTGTCGGTGAATTAGTTACTGTTCCCGTCGGGTGATTAAAATATTTCGTTGGCTCGTGAAATACTGAAACCTTGTGCATCGTGCTAATTAAATACGTAGTTTTCGTTTATTGTTCTCTGATTGAAACGTATTTACACGAATGTTAATGGCAGTGCCAGTGCCACAACCGGAATACTGAATAAGGAAGTCAGGACGACGGGTTAGCGTTACATTATATATTTTCAGACACGTTAATCAAATTATTTGTTACACGACAGATTTTAACGAAAGTTTAACAAATTTGTGGAGAATAAAGGATTATTTCGAGTCGAAATTTAGCCGATATGATATGTAAAACTGGCTTCCACATATCGTGAATATAATAATATTCTGGATATATTATGTATGCCTGCTTTATTTTCTATTTTGCTGGCGATATGTAGGTGGAAAATGCACGCATATGCTAATTCGTACAAGATTGTATAAATTTCATAAATTCGGAGTAGTGATGATAACGAAGTCAATTATCGAAAAAAGGGAAGCAAGAATACTGGACATAAGCTACAGGTCTGTAATAAATGCACTTTGAATACAGGATAGTAAGTGAACTAGTGATTATATGTGCTTCGAACTTCGTTCCGTGCCTTGCGAAAAACGTAAAAGACTATTTGATATATTATTCACAGTTCGGGAATGAAAATACTATACCGTCACTCCTTTTTATGCGTTATAACGAAATAACAGATACGTGAAAGTTATACAGGGTGACTCATAAATGCATGTCAATATTTCAAGTAAATGTACACACTAAAATAAGCAAAAATACATGTCCTACATACTTTAATTTGCAAGTTATAGATGATTTTAAAGAAAATGTTCGAAACTAAGGTAGGACATATATTTATGACATTTTTCATTTATTTTAGTGTGTACATTTATCCCTTGAAATATTGACATGCCTTTACGAATCATCCTGTATAACTTCTACGTTCACAACAGCTATCGAAATATCACGTCCTGCGAACAAGGTGGAATCAAAAAACGGTGCGACTGCGAAAATTTAGAGAATATACACGGCATTCTTGCTCTTTTTGTCCAATATCATCCTGATCTTATTAAAATTCAACGTTTCATCGCTTGTGTATTTCTGCGTCGCCCTTAATGCAAATTTCCAATTAATTGAGTCGTTGCATCATTAATAGCAAATAAATTTGTCATATATGTGCGCGCGTGTGCGCGTGTATGTAAGCGAAATAATACGGAAGGTGAAATACCGCTAGCCGAATCCGCGAGAAAACGGTTAAAAATATTCCAACCTGCGAGCGAATGCGTCAAACGGGCATATCATAAATATAAATGCACATATAATTCAAGCGTTACACCATCCGCCATTTAACTAAAAATATTTCTGGTCGTCGCATACGGTGAGAAATTACTTCCTACCGATGAATGTGCGTCCCGCTACCAGGTACGCGCGCAAAAAACGAATGAAAAATAATTGGACGGAACGGAAGAGTTTTTGAAAATTTAAACGTCACGTGTGATTTCATATCTACATTTTTCGAGATCTCCTGAGCCGGAAACGTTAAAAGCCCAATGACCTGATACCCGCGTCTCTTTGTTCGCATGTTTATTCATTTTCCTACATTTTGAGGGAAAAAATTCGCACATACATATGTTGTTCAATTTTCGCCGTGTCGGTTTAACTGAAAGGTTTATAATTAGAAAAAATGACGCGCGTATGTACTGCGATTTTGAAAAAATCTTAATAATCGGATAACGAGAGCCATAACGCGTTCGAAATTCGGATCGACGTTTGCGGCTTGCCGAAATCAGCAACAAATCAGCGGCGCGTTAAATAGCTGCGTTAAACCGCGCGATTCCGGCGTCGCGCTTGAAATCGGGCGTGTATGGCGAAATCAATCAAAGTCGGACATGATTTTAACATCGAACACAAGCCTAATGTCGGCCGGTTTGCGGCACGTTCAAGAATTGAGAGCGGAAGGCCGTTTACAACCGCTATGTTGCATTAAAGTAGCGGAGTTCCAGCAATCGAACCGTAAGCGGTTCGCCCCGCTTTCCACACTCGACCTCCTTCGGAAATTAGCTAATCGACTGCGCGCGTGCGCTATGTTCTCCATTACCGTTAACAATCACAGACAGTTCCCTCCGAATTCGTTCAGCGAGAATTTCCTACGATCAACAGCGAGTGTGAGAGAGAGAAGGGACGAAGGAAGAAGGGGAGCCGAATACGACGGAAAGAATACGTGTAGAGAAAAAAAGTGTTAGAATCAAGTGAGCGCAATTATATTATCAGCCTCTTAAATTCAGATAATATTTTTATCAATTTAAATATATCTTAATGGCTTGTAGTAAGTGGCTTGAATGCAGTGATATGTTTGTGACTGAATTGCCGAATATATAAACATGTGAATGTGTGAACTGAAAAGTAAAATGGCTCTAAATTTAAGAAAGTATTCACCAGAGTTAGGTAACACTTCTTCTCTATTCCGGGAGAAATCTACACGGAGACAATTAAATTTGCGGTGGTAGCGAAATCACCGTTGCTACTGCATATTCATTGCGACAGCAATAAAATTAAGTTGGCACATCTAAATTAGCGAGTTATTCGTAATTAGAGCAGAAACAGTTTTGTTGGCGGAATAGAAAATATACTGTTGAATGAATCTATCCTTAGAATAAGTTAATTCGCTGTCAGGACAAAATAGTGTTTCTTTACTAATCTGTGTCTACGACAAGATTATTTGTAGATTCGATAAAATTTTTCTATCCTGATAATACCGAACTGTTTCTGCTCTAATCGCGAATAATTCGCTAATTTGGTTACGCTGGCTGACAAATTTTATTGCTGTCGCAATAAATATGCAGTAGCGACGGTTTCGCTAGAACAGCGGAATTATTTTACTCCGTCAATTATATTTCTACTTCTCCGGTAAATATTTGTCATGGGGGTATTGAAGTAACCATTTTATTCGGAGCAAGTAAATATTACTCGAACGGCGGCACTTCTTTTTCCGTGTGCCTCGGAAACGCGTAAATACTTCAGGAAGATTTCATCCCGCTGGATCCATCTGTTCAAACGTCACGCACGTTATAGCGCTTCCAGCAACGACTTCGCGTCAGCATCGCCGTTGTATATAATTCCAACTTGGTCTCTTCCTTATTCGTTGGGTTTCCCTCGCGCTCTCGTGGAATAAAGTTTTTACACACGTTGAGCGTCGGCGAACGAAGGTGGCTGAAAGAAGCCGGGCGCACTCGGGAGACAATTATAGTAACTCGGTCGCGCGTTTGTGTTAATAACACGAGAAAAGGGACGTTCGGTAAGCATCTCGGAAATCGCATCCGCGCTTGAGAGCGGGTCCGCTCGCACGTTGCTCGGGTGAGTCGTGAGAGAGGAAGAAAACAGAGTACGAGACTCTTTTTGCCGGGCGAAACTCGCTCATGTCCGGCGTCTTAATAACACGAGCGTCTTAATGCCGAGAGAAAAGGAATTTTCACTCACTGTCCAGATCGGCGAGGATCGCCTCGCTGGCCACGTCCAAGCTCCTCGTGAGACACTTTCGCAGCTGCGACGTCGTATCCGCGTGGTAGTCCTTTAAGTCCTGCAATGCCGTCTCCAACGTTACAGGGAGCTTCCCGATCCCAGCCGCCACCGCCTCGTTGCATATTATCATTGTCACCGTGCAGGACCTGAGCGTGAAGGATTATGAATAACGTAGTAAGTGCTTGCTTCAGGTAAGAGGTTTCCAGCGGCAAGACGAATAGCTACCTACTTAGAGCTTTCCTCCCACCTTTGGCCCAACTTCATTTATTCCCGTTGTACGTATCGTCTTATATTACCGCGCCGTTAATCTAACCCGATTGTTAAATTGAAAAAAGACAAGAAGGGGAGGATTCTTTTGATATCTGCGCGCGCAAATCGAGCGTACTTTCTCGTCGGTATCACGCGCGCTTTAATTCTTCGCTCAGTCGGTTACGGGGGAATTGCTACGAACGAAAGAAGGAGAGAAAACTGTGCGGATTTATAACGGGCGTGAAATAGTCGCGGGGAATCTCCCGTGTTAACGTAAAAAGTCGACGTAATCGGGGGAACTTTATCACCGTGGCGACTCGCGGCGATTACACACTCGCGGCGCGCAATCAAGAAGGATAGAAGAATTAGGGAACACAGGTAGGGTTGGAAGTGAGGGTAATAAGTTCTCGGGGGGAGGGGGTGTCTGAGAACGGAGAATCGTCATAGATCCTACCCGAGCATAAAGGCGAGAACGGCGAGGAGAAATGCGAGAACACCGGGATGCCGAGAGGGTTTGTAATCTTCTCTGATTGGACGACAGGCGAGCCAAAGTTCCGTGCCAGGTATTATGCAGGCCAGTACGCAGCACACGCCTACTAAGCCCAGAAAAGCTGCTTCCACGTGCATGGACTGTAAAAGTTAAAGCGAAGCTTGCGAGAAATTTAACTATGGCAGCATCTTCGCGCGTCGTAGATCGCGGAAATTATGTATCGTGCCGCTACGTCGCGCCGCGAGTCCGAGGAAATTTCCTCCCTGCGAAGTGAAACACGGTCGAGAGAGTGTCCGGAGGAGCAGTGTTGAGACGTATCTAAATAATTTATATAGATACACAATCTGGATGCAAAATAAGTCGTCTAACATCTGTATCTGAGTGATTATGCAATGGTACACGGTGGAAATATTGCAATAAAAATGACCACAAAATTTTGTACTTTGTTGGACCATACCGGAATTATAACTGAAATTATTATATATTATGTTGTAATCTTTAGTGATCGACTGTTTATCTAATATTTATATTTAAGGAAAATATTTCCTACCGATTTATCTAACGAGACATCTATCATAAAGAATTGAGAACACATGTCACAATATACGGAGTATCTTTGGAAGACATATGCTAGATATATTATAGGTCATAACGAGGGTTGTTAAATTTAAATCCGAACATCTTTAATTAAAGTAATTAAAAACACAATGTAATGTTAATGTTATTATAAACTTATTGTATATTTTGTTCTCTATCAAAGAGACCAAACTTTCTTGTATATTTTATTTTGTATAATTGAAAGATTACTAAAATATTTTGCACGACAATTTGGACGTCACGTTATGTATACGTATATTTATCGAAAAGGGAACGAAAAAATAATTGAAATTTTTTTATCATCAAGAAAAAAGACATTTAATTTAATATATTAAAAATTAGATTTCCCATATATATGAAGTTTTAATTTAAATTGTTCTGTTCATGATAATTCTTTTAGACTTATGATAAAAAATGATAAAAAATGTGAATACATGAACTTTATTAATATTTAAGTTAAAATCATTTAATATTCTAACAATATTAATTAAATTATTTAAAATTTATATATAATAAACGTTCAGATTTTCAGTATATTAAGTTGAATATTGTCATTTTTCCAAGGATATAATTTTAATATATGTTATTAACAACAATATAAAAAAGGAAAGGAAATTCGAGAATGATACAATTGCTAAGCATTATATAACTATATTTTTCTACATCTTTGCGTCCCCAAATAGCTTGACTATGATGGAACATGGCTTCATTTCTGATTACAAGTATAAAGAAAATAAGGGGAGAAAAAACAAAAATTAAGTAATTTATCGTTATTTAGATAACGTTAATATATTTAAATAATATGTAGATGCATCTCGACATATATCTGAAGCTTATTCCACGTCAAAGATATAAAAAATGTATAGTTCGATAAAAATCTCCTCTTCATATTTGTACCTATACCTAAGGAAAATATAAGTTTATTTACTCTTCCATCTGTTTATCCAGACAGGTAATCGTGTGATTGTATTTAACTTGATTTAGACATGAGAGAAATCATATCTTTCCCAACACTGCCCGGGGAGCCGCGAGGGGGCCGGATGAAATTAATGAATGAAGCTTTGCGCTTCCTTTAATGATCCTCTCCGCTGCGTGCCGGTAGTTAAATATTTCTGGCTCCCGGCGCGCTTTCGCCTTACCTCGGAGATCAATTTGCCGGTGCTTATGCGATTTTCCACGGCGTCCGCCAGCAGGTCTGTAACGAGCGAGAAGAATTATAGTTTACTCCTTTTCCTCGCGCCGCTAATTGGACGGGAAACACTAATAGAGCCCGACAACGTTGAGGAATCTATTAGACTTGGATCACACTCGGCGGCGCGCGCCGACGGCCGGTTGAATCGACAGAACGTGCGCGGGTCTAACTCGCGCGATGAAATACGAAGCACTCGAGAAATGAACAGAATCCCCGATACGTTCCTCTGTGCGCGATTGTACAGGGTGTTGCATTAACGTACAATTCATTACAACGGGTACGCAAGGCCGTGCGTGAGAGAAGCGATTCCACACGACGTGGCAAATGCGGCCGAACGTTGACAAATATATTGACCACGTGTATCGGGCGAATGTAACATACGAATATAACGGACGAATATAACATGATAATATAGCACACGTAATGTAACGTAACATAATGTAACATAATATACATAATGTAACATGTAATCAATATAACGCGCCGCGCGAACTCGCGCTCTCTCACGCGCGCCTCCGGGCGAAACGAACCGTCGCAATAAAACGGCACGTTGATGCAACTCCCTGTACATCGCGGAAACCGATGCTCGTTGATCGCTTTTCACACGGCTGTCGCCAAAGTGTCGACCTTCGGTCGCGCGACTCGCGATCATTTGTTAAAATTAATCTGTCGCGAGAAAGAGAATGAGAGAGAAGGAGAGAGAGGGGGATTGAAAGTTATGACGGACGGGTTGGTCGTACACGCGCGAATCGAGCGATGTAGCGAAGCGCCGAGCGTGCTTATTCTTTTCTCCCCTTTTCCCTTCTTTTTCGTCATTTCGTTTCTTTTTCATCGAAACACAGCTTGCGTATGAATCGATTGGATCAGGCACTTCGGAAAACCACTCGATTTCAATGTGAATCGGCTGAAAGGCGCGCACGTTGAAAGGCCGCGTTGGAGGTGCTTTCAAGTCTAAAACAGATTCGGCCGGCAAGCATTCGCGATCGATTGTTACCGATCGGTACGTCGTAAGGCTGCACGAAGGACAAGAAAGCCCGGAGAAAGTCGAAGGCGAACCACCCCCTGTCGAGATGCAAACTCGCCATCTTGTAACGCTCGTCCGCGGTGAATTTCGGAAAGTTCAGCTTCGGCTTCCCGTTCCAGTCGTTGTCGGGCGAGGTCAACGTCCGCGGATGCGACACGTTGTTCTTCGCGCCGTCTCCGAGCACGTCCGCCATCGTGTCCATCTCGCCCCCCCGCGTCTCGTTTGAGAAAGGAAGAACGAGGAAGCTGTCGGTGGTCGAGCAATTGTTACCGCCCGAATCAGCCGGGACGGACTCTTGAAGCGTGTACGCTCTCGAAGCGGCGACGACCAGCAGGAGCACTGCAAGTTTCAGAAAAGTGCACCTTACACGATGTGTCGCCGTGCTTTTTGCCGCGGTCCAAACGACGACGAGCGAATTTATCGATTCAGCCTGTGACAGCTGACGACATGAAGTCCCCGAGATTATTTCGAGGAAAATCGACGATAACGCATTGCGTGAGAGACACGGGAATAGTTTTCTTCTTCTCGCGTGCTACCTCGCGTCGAATTATTTTCCCGACCGGCGGGGGTCTCGAGACGTTTCGACGCGGTGTCTACGCGCGAAAATCGAGGAGGAGGGCTGGAAACGAGGCGGGAAGAGAGCACGTGCCTCGGATCACGGCCATTTTTCACACGGGCGTGTTCACCGACGTCTTCCTCGACACCACCGATAATCGGCGACGGCCGCGTCTCTATCGAGTCGCAGGCGGACTGTCGCTTTCAGTATTTGCAGAGGCTTCCGCGAAGCCCCGCAGGTGTGTAGATGTTGCCGAACCTCGTGAAGACGGCGACTTAGCCGAGGGTTGACACGGATCAGGTGATATCGCCCGATGCGAATCGGGTCACGTCTCAGACAGTGCAAAAGGGGTTCAAAATATATGGAGGAGCTGCCTGCGATGCCCACCGAAATAACTCGTGCCATTCGACAGGTCATTGTTAAAAAGTGCCAATGGCACTAACACGGCAAGACATGTGTAAGAAGAGTATGAGAAGAACTTCAGCTCTTAGATCTGCAATGCAGTCAGATCTTATATTTAAGATCGTTTTAAGCTCATCTTCGGATGTCCCGTAGACAATGAAATGAACCATACAGCGAATGAACTTAAGACGATGTTAAATATAAGATCCGACTACGAATATCGGCCGTAAACATTTTAAAAATGTCCTTTCAGACGTCTTTTGGGAATTTGCACTGTTGTTTGCACTGTAAATTCAAGTGTGTTATTTCAGCTGAGGTTTTTCTCACACATTTATTGCCACTTTAAATCGCGTCATTTAACACGATTGAACGTTTTAAATGGCGTGACATGAAGCACGACAAGGAACATGTAAAAGGAGCTTCAGGGTGTCCAATGTGTCATTTTCAGACATCTGCGCGTATAAAAATAACACACTTGGATTTTTGCAACTTGGGAACGCGTTAGTGGCGAATACGAGCGCGCGCGCCCGCTCGTTGCGGAGTTTGTGCGTCGTTTGGAAATTTGGCGTTAACGGAAAATATAATCGCGAATAAAAAGAGCGAAGCGGAGCGGATGAAGTTATCGGTAGTTGATGTGTGACGCGCCGGCGTTTAGAGAGCGCGCGCGCGCGCATCGAAAAATGTTTTGCAACATTTGAGTTTCCACTAAATTAGGCGCGTAATCGCTGACTCAGGTACCGACCACCGCCAACGTTCCCCGCCATTGGCGAATAAGCTCCAAATAGTACTTTACGTAACGAACGAAAATTAGTTTTTGCCTGATGCACAACGTCGACCGCGTGATTTTAACTTTCGGCGGAGAGAGAGAGAGAGAGAGAGAGTCGGATTTCGCAATACGATATGGCATTTCACCGGAGGATATTAACGCACCATCGGATTTATTTCGTTTCTGATCAAAAGCAATCTTGTGTGAAAACAAGCGGTGCCGGTTCGCGAAAAATCGGCAGTGCCCGCCGAACGAGAAGTTAGCGGAATTTATCGGCGAACTTTTTACTTGGGCGATTCGTTACTCGAGTTAGCCGGCCCCAAATAAACGTGGGACTCCGATTTAGAAGCGCGAGGTAACAAAGTGCGGCGAGAGTGCGTTCGCTTGATCGGAAACGGATTTCGCTCGTTAATGTTAATTAACAGCGGCGGCGAGTCGCGCGTTTTCAAGGAGGCGCGATCATTTCGAGCGCTTCCCCGCCTCGTTTCATTACAAAACACTCATCGTGCTAATTAAGTCATCGCGTAAGTGAACTCCTGCTGACCTCGCGCCTGAATTTATCTGAGGTCCTCAAAATTCAATCTCTCTCTCTCTCTCTCTCGCTCTCGCACCTCGTCTTATTTTAACGTATCCTTTGAAAGACAACCTCATTACAGATTGCAAACGTACGTTGACGGTAACGGGGAATGCGACGTGTCTGCGTGGATTGGTTGCGCACACCGATGGATTTGATAAACACGCTGTCTTTTGGGACATGTATTTAATAGGGAGTCGTAATTAATGTAGCGTTAAAATAATCACTGCACACACATGTAATTCTTGACTTGATTGTCCGATCACCCGGCCGAATAACTCAGTTTTTATCAATTCCGCCCGACGGAATCTCGCGCGGTAATTACACACGCGTCGCTCACGCCGGGAAGCTGAATCGATATGAATCTTCGCGCATTTCTTGAGTGAAGCAACGTCGGCCGGTGATCTCCGGTGCGATCAAGACGTATGTGTGTGTGTGTATGTGTGTGTGTGTAATGACAATACGCGGGACCGGAGATTATCCGGAGAAAAAACTTCATTATTCCCTCCAGTGCCGGAGAGTTAATTGCATTACGTGCATGCGAAGATATTCCCCAACGCGTGATTTTAATACATCACCTTAAACGAAACAGAAGAGAACTCTTTTCACGAGAAAGAGAGAGAGAAGGGGAGGGAGGAAAGGAGGCGAGTGTACATGTAAATTTTAAAAGATCGAACGGCAAGGTCCATCGACCGGAGGGATTATCTTCCCGGCTATGGTTGGACTCACGTAGAAATCACGGAGAAAACGAACTTCGCTGGAACAGCAAACGTTGGTCGATGCAGTGACAGCAGAAAAGAATTCGTTTGGACAGCAGAAAATTTGTCCGCACGACAGAAAGATTTGTTAAGAGTATTAATTGTCCATATATCCAGCAAATAGCGATTAACAACTCTTAGCAAATCTTTGTAGAATTAATTAAGTTTTAGTTTTATTTATATCCTTCGTGCCTACCTGAATAGTTAAGACGTGTGAGTATTGTAATGTTATAAAAATAACAGTAGCAATATATCGTTAAGTTTTCGGCGGAGGCCGGGAAAAAACAAGTGCGCACAAACAAAGCGTGAAGAACGTAAGCGGCGTGACAACGAGAAATCAACAGATTGAAACGAGACACGACGAGGCTCGGAAGTGCGTACGATACATTAAACGCTTTTCCTTGATTTTCCCTCGATTCTACGATTTGAGTCAGTTTTCTTTTGAAACCTCTCCTATCCCATTAAAATAACCACTACATCTTTCCGCTGTCGGAACCAATTTTTTGCTGACTGAACAAATTTCTCTTTTGCCCTCACTATATCGACAAACATTTGCTGTTCAAAATTTGTTTCCTCCGTGCGCAGCCGGCGCGCACGCCGCTGTTTCACTGACGATACACTCGGTAGCCTGCGGCAGACATTTCCGGAAATAAAACGCCAAGTATCCGTCGACGTGACTTCTCGCGAGAACGCGCGTGTTTTACGCGCTCACAATGCGAACTCGCGGCTCTGAAGCGTTCCGGACGGATTTCCACGGCTCGATTCTCGAGCAGTCGTTCGCAGCTACGGAAATAATACTCTTTCCTCTCGCCGGCATTCCCGACCGTTCCGCTCGCCCTTCTCGAGACGAGACGAACATCGGCTCGCCCTTTAAGACCGACCCCGTCAACGATAATCCGTGGTGGAACGGGGATCAAGCGACCGTAGTCTGTCTCATTGTTTGGCGATTTCTTGTTACGAAATCGTCGAGAGTTGCGGAAGTTGCGGAGAGTTGCGCCGTTTCCGGGATTACGAGCGCGGGATGAACCGGCGAACTCGCGAATTGAAATTTCTTATCGAGCGCGGGGAATGCGCGACTCATCGAGCACGTCTAACTAACGGGCGGGATATTATATATCCGCGAGGGATTCCCGCGGAATAACTCGGCCAAAAGTATTCCACGTCGAAGGACATATTAACGGCTGGAATTCTCGTTTAACCGACGCCTGTCCACCGCGACGCCTTATTAGATAGCGCCGTGAGATTCATCGGGGCGACATACTGCCGTACGTATAATGCCGACGAAGGACAACGGCGAGAATTGCTCATAGACGCGGTTAAACGACGACTGATACTCGGAGAACAATTATTAATCAGAGGAGCAATCAATTTTATGTCGTAGCAAATAAATAAATTCTAACTTTTAATTTAATTTGAATGATACATGTTTAATATATACTTGTGAATATTTGTAATACACTGTATAAATATATCATATAAATATTTATATAAATGATGAAAATATTTTTAAGCACCGTCGATTATTTTATGAGTTGATTTTTGAGGTGACATTTTAGGAAGAAAGGAACGTGTGTTTATATGAAACTTATTTTTTTCATAAAATAATCTCAAAGTCAACTCCTAAAATGTAGGACGTCACGGTTAGCAGCACGCTTATAATTATTCCAGTATTTAGTGTAGCTTTGAATTTTATTCGAAATTTATTATAACAGATAATATATAATAATATATAAAATTTAGAGTAAAAATATTTTTTTTAGATAAAGCTATATCAAGCTATATATGACTTATTAACCTTAAACTATCACACGTTTCTTTTTCGAACGAGACTATCACACTGGGTCACCGTGACCCAACGCAATTTTCGATGAGCTGCAGTTTAAAACCTAAGTGTCCAAAAATTCTTAAAAAAACTCTGAGATGAAGTTCAAACATAGAAAAATTTATTCCAATTATAAGAAATTAATATTTTAATTATTTCCATTGAAAAAGAATTGTTGACAAAAAAGTATTTTAATCACATATTGCTTAAAAAATCATAACTTTGCAATTTTTAATATCTCAACACTTTGCGGGCCGCTGTCACGCTGACGTGACTTTTGCTCGCCAACGGTTATCGGCCGCTGTCATGCTGGCGTGACTTTTGCTCGCCAACGACTTTCGGCCGCTATCACGCTGGCGTGATGGTTTGACGATCAGGAAACATTGTTTTCAACTGTTTTCCTCTCCCAATT